GGGTGATCAATACTTTCTCTTTCGCCTGTTATGAGCTAATTTCCACGAGAATCAAGGAATCTATTAAACTATCTTTTTTGGAAGCTGTACTAACAGTGCTTCAAGATAAGCAAAACATAGCTATATAATCAATTAAGTATAACCAACGAAGAGAGTCTGTCCTGTCTTCTTCTTTGATCTTTCGAGTTGTGAAGGTAAGGTATCGGTAGTATTGTGCCCCACTGCCAATTTTCTTCAGCCTTCCCCGCGATTACTCTCTTTATCCTGAAGTTATAATTCAGTTCGTTCTCTTAGACCTATACCTCTGTTGAGATTGTCATTGTTGAGATCAGAGCGGGCTTGACTGCTTTATTCGGTCTTCAGCTGGCCTTACGATTGGAGGCTGCTGAAAGAGAAGAAAGGAAAGGGTAGTTGCTAAAATAAATAGGGACTGCTACCAAATCTTAAACAAGGGGCTACAAAGAAGACAGCACGCGTACCCGGGAAAATGTATTAACTTACTTGAATGGGAGCTATCCTAGAACACTAACAAGCGGGGACAGAGAAGGAGAAACCTCTTTGAAAGGACAGAGCCGCTTGGCCGCTACTTACACATCTTGGAGTCCGGATTGAACTACGAACGGATTCCAGGGCTCAAATTCACCTTAGATAGCCTTCCTCTATTCATAGAGGAGATTTTCTTTCTAGTAAGAGCTATCCCTATTATATTTCCAGGACTGCTACAGGCACTGATCCTTTCTATGTTCAAAGTCTCCTTGTGAATGTAGTTTCTCGGAAGCGAGCTAAAGTGAAGGTTATTCAGATTCAGCAGTGTTAAGCAGTCACTTCTATAGTGGAATTTCAGATATTGCTGCCGCTAGGAGCTAATGAAAACTCATGTAGTCATCTAACTCAATACGTATATATGATGCTTATTTTGTCCAATCTATGAAAGAAGAGTTAGACGACTAGCAAACCTCTCCTTTCAGTCGGGAGCATCTTCAAACCTTCAAACGAATAGAAAAAAGTCAAACAAGAAGAAAGTCTAGCCGGAATAAATAAAATTTTTACTGCTACGCAATAAACTACATGAAAGCAAGGCAGGGGAGCGGAGAGGTACTTGAGAGAATGGGGGCAGGGACCCCCTAATCCGGAAAGCAAGGTGCGAAGCGGACTGGGGATAGACTGATTAACTACCTTAGATAAGATGCCAGGATAAGGATTTCGCACGGAATATTGAATTAAAAGAGGAAACAGGACACGACAAGTAAGGCACGAAGGTTTCCATGGATGTGGCATGTTTCGTTTTCAGCACGCCCATTCAAAAGCAATTAGGGGCAATTTAGGACTGAAGGGAAGGTGCGATTAGAGAAGGAACTGTTGAAAGGCAACTAGTGAAGATCTAAAAAATAAAGGGGAATAAATGCCATATTCATGTGAATCAATTCTTGCTAGGCTCTTTATAAGAAGGACGATGAAACTGGATAAAAAATAAAGGGGAATAAATGCCATATTTGATCCCAAAAAGCAAAATAAAGGCTCGTCGAACCTACTTTAAAGATCCTGCACCCTCTATTCTTGCCATGAAAGTGAGGAGAGCTTAGAAGCAGCATAGCCTTGAACTACGATTGAGAGTTTTTCTTCACCATCAGCAGCTTATATACCTACTACTCCTCTTTCTATGCTGCCTGCTGTGAAGCATCTCGTTTTGCTCGCTATTGTGCCTTGCCCATTCTTATGGGCTTTGCTCTGCCATCTGCATCTAGATCTAGTTACCTTTTAAACAACGGATTTTTTCCTTGTTTCATAAGAGAGCAGACGATTCTGCGACTGGCTTAGCTTTTATACGGGGTCAACTAAAGAAATTCTTTCAGCTCCAGGACCAACTTCTCAATGAAAGAGCTCTTTTCGGCATAAGAAACAACTAGAAACCAGAGCCTCGATGCTCCTCCTTCTCCCAAGGTCACTTCCAGCTTACAGCTGGATAGAGTCGTCTTCTTAATGTTCTTGAATGTGATCAGCTTAGCAGTAAAGAGCTTCTGTTTAGCGAAAGTATGATGAAGAACTTATCCCTTTTGGAGTTTAGTACCATTTTTTTTCAATATAAAGCTATCTAGCCAACATCAGCTTAAATAAATAAATAAATATAAAAGAGATGTGCTTTGTGATCCAACCTCCACTCCTTCATCCAGCAGTCACCTCTTGGAATCTAGTCTTTAGCCCCATTCCATCCAAATATAACTCTTTCAATTTTTCTTCCTATATTTGCTTTCTATTTCTTTTCCTTTTTTTGCATTATTTTGATTATACTCTTTTCTGTCAACTCTAATATCTTAAGTATAACTTGTCATGTTGCCATTTTTTCTGATTCATGTGTGTTTCTTTCCATGTTTTCTACTTTTTTCTCTTTTTTTTATTGATATCTTAAAATATATTTTTCGAATTATGTATTTTATCCTTTTTTTTTTTTTTGCGCCTCACTTCACTTAGGCCTCGCCTTCGCTTGGAGGCTAGCGCCTAGGCTCCAGCAGCCCAGTGCGCCTTGTGCCTTTAATTACTATGCAGCTATAACATATTACACCTATCTATACCTATTAGTTACCAGATGCTTTCACACCGTTGGTTGCTACTATTTCTTTCTTTCATACTCAACAAGACAATCCTATCTCCAATGTAATAAATGAAGAAGAATCACGATCTTCTGTCTTTTATACTTCCTTCAGCTTTCAACCTTCCCTAGGTAGATATCCATGTAGCAGGTTTTTCAACTTATGCCAGTAGATCATTATTTCCTATTGTAGCGGTTCCCTAGTTATCCATGTCATTTCTTTGGAATGACATGGATAAGATTACAAGCTTATAAAGCTAAGATTAGTAAGACGGAACATATTAGTCTACAAAGAAGTCCAAGCAACAAGCATGAAAAATGAAACAAAAAAGCGTATGAATTTGGTACTTGCTGCATAAAATGTTCAGATTTTTTTTTTTTTTTTTTTTTTAAAAAGTAATGTGTTCCAAAATTTAAACCCACAATGTTTAACATAGTTCGTTCGCACCTTAACTACTTTATCCATTTAGTTTATAATAAAAATTTAATTTTTTTTGTTTAAATTAAAGTTGCCCATTTTGCAGTAGAAAACTAAATCACATTCGATTGAATTTAACTGGTATGACCAAGGTCCAATTCAATTTTCAAAACATTCGTTTCTAATGCAAAAATAAGAAGGAATAAAAGTCAATAATTGAATCAATTTATTGTTTACAAAATGAAAATAGATTTAGGGGCTAAATTAGCTAAAAAAAAAAAAGTCAAATTCGACCTTTTAATCTCTATAAAAATTTACGGGATAAATTAATCTAAAAGGTTAAATCTGACTTTTAATCCTTCAATTTACTGTACTGGATTGTCCTTTTTCTTTAAAAAAAAAAAAATAATAAAACTGCAACTTTCATGAACTTAAATCATTAATGAAAAAATCCATAATGAAAGGAGGGACAAGACCCCACTCCTTCAAATCGGACAAAGAGTAGACATGAGTTGCAAGAAGATGTGCAATCCAATTTGCTGATTTACGAATAAAAGAGACAGAACCTAAAGGAATTTCTTTTAACAAAGCTTTACAGTCCATAATTAAACAACCAAAATAGGATAAGATCATTTCGACCACGGTATATAGTTTGGACAAGTAACTGAGAATCAGATTCAAATTCGGTAACCATTTCTTTTGGCCCAACGTAAGGCCTCACGAAATGATAGTGCCTCAGCAACTGAAGCATCAAAACCCCCACTAACTGACAAGCATTCAACATGGTGCCCCTTTCATCCCTTAAGACCCAACAAAATATTTGATTTATTGTACTGCATTGTCTATTTAATGTTTGAATCTTAATGAAGTTAATTAAACTCATTAACTCTAAATATTTGATTTTGTAATTAATTTGACAAATAGTAATTGATGAAATTCATAAAGTTAAAAATCAAATTAATTACTCCAAAGGACGATTTAGTCTTTTATACTTTTAATTAATACGAAAATAACAATTTCACTAACTTTTGATCAGAAAAATATAATTGAGAGTAAACTTGAAATTTGGTGACAAGAAAAATAAAGAATAAAAGAGTTCAAAAAAATTGACCACTAGGCTAGTCTTCGGTAATGGTGACTGTCTGCTTCGTTTCCAATGCGTATTAGTTCTCAAGTGTAGGAGGTGATTTTAGTTGTGGAAATAGTATAGGCTAGTAATAGTTTTAGTTGCAGTTATGCTCCTGCCCTTAAGAGTTCTTGCTTCAAGTTAACTTGCCTTGCTAATGCTAGCTTACCTTCTATTATTACTGTCCAGAGCGGGGAAGAAGCACTACTGAAGGTCATCACTGTGAAAAACCGTCTTATCGATCTTTCTTTTTGTCTAAAAGGCCTCTAGAAAGCCCTGACTATAGCTAGGGCAGGACCCGACCAGTTGGCCGATAACTTAGTCCATTGCTGCGGGATGTGGACAATGACAAAGCAAAGTAGGATAGGATCCCGATTGCTCTGTCACTGCATCCAACTACTTCTCCCTAGCTAGAGTGAGAAACCATACCTTGCCACATGGAACTAGGTTTGACAATCTCATTCTTATCCCGACATCCAGCCCTAGTGAGTGAGTAAAGCAAGCTATACCTGATACCGATCAAGAAAACTGGCCGGGAACAAGATGCCCTTTTCTGCAATTAGAGAAGGAATGTAACTGGCTTGCTTTTTCATTAAAAGAGACTCATTCCCTTCTTTGGCTTATTCATATTATGCCTTATTGAGAGCTCTCCGTCGCTAGAATATGAAAGACTGCTTGACCATTCATTTACATTCAATATTACCCGCTTTCTTCAAGCCCTATCTCTTATCTTTCTTAGCCGCCCGCCCTATGAACACCATATTCTGCAAACCCAACTCTTACCTAATATCCAACTACATGGAAGCACTTTTGATACAATGACAACAATAATAACCATAACGGATACAATTAATCAGTAGTAATAACCATAAAAATAATAATGACAACAATTAATCAATAAATACATAACTGATACAATGAATTAGCTTTACACAAACTAGAAACTTGGACGTTTCTGCTACAGAAATGAAAATGGAAGGCCATAAAAAACAAAAAGGGTATCTTAAAATTTTGATACATTGAAAGAATACAACAAAAAGCAACTCACTTGCAGAGGCATTTACACAACAGTTTATTTGTCGGGTGTTAAAAAAAATTACCCTCCTTTTTGTTAAAATAATCTGGGGAAAGAATAAGAACCAATTGGCAATTAACTTACAGAAGCAGCAAAAGAGGTCATCTGGATGAGACTTCATCCTCTGTAAGATCACCTTTCTGTCAAAAATAAAGCCTCCAAATAACCATCGACATAAGCTAAGCATGGCCAATGATCAGTCCTAATTCGAACCAACGTTGATAGATCAGAGACTTCCATTTGGAAAAGAAGATGGAACCTTGGTGGAAGAAATATCAACACGAGAAAGCAACCCATGATTCTTTTGTAGCCATTTACCTGAGTTTCTCTATCATATTCATCATTGAAGTATGTCAGATGAAGTGGACCCTTATTGAACTCGGTAGTAACTAAGGCAGTGCTATCGACCAAAGAATCTGATGCAGCAGCTTTCCATACAATGTCTTTGATGATTCCCCTATCCTTCACCATGTTCACAAGCTGTTCTCCGATCACACAAACCACAAAGGGTGTCAAATACTTCTCAATGGCACAAATCAGAGAGTCTGCAGGAACCTCAAGAAGCTTGACAGATCGGGTACCATTGATTGCTGCAGCACCTTTCCCTCCTTTTAATGGGAACGTCTCACGTCCAATGTTGGTGGAAGCACCGCATGCCTCCCAAAGAGCATCAAATAATCCTGAATAATATGCTGACATGGCATCTTCTGAGATGTCAGACGGGACAATAGCCTTGTGAAACATGTCTTCTATACCTACTGTGATACTTTGAAGCTGACCACGGATTATCTGGCCATTTTCCACATTTGTTTCAATGAAAACATCAACCAAACCAGGAGTAGGTTCCCGTGGTTCTAGATCAACTGTAACGCGAGCTTTATAGTTTTCCTCTTCTTCAAAATAATTTTCCACAGGAACAATGTCTAGTGAAACTTCTGGGCTGGAGATGTGATCTTTCTTGGTGGCTTCACCAAGAAGGAAAGGTATGTGATATGGTGGGATGGACCCATATGGTGCTGATGATGAAAATTTTAGCACAGTTGCATATAAAGCAGGAAGCGCATCTATTCCATCTAACCGACTGGTTGGAGAGCTATTCCCGCATAACTGATTGAAAGAGTCAGATTCAAACTTCAAACTGCAGGATATGCTAACCTTGAGCCCTGTCATGTGCCTAAAATCAGGAATACACGAGAAGTGCCTCCTTAATACGCCTAAGATCTGTGAAACCTTTGAATCCATTACACGTAATGGCTCCTGTAATGGAGTAGTTCTTTCATTTCTTGAGGTTGCTAGAAAATTAGTACCAACTTCTAGCTCCCTTAAATCAACCTGTGGTTCACTATCCATAATGCTTTCCAGATAACTAGGTTTACTGGAACTAATATCCAAAGGCGACAAGGACAGTGACCAGGATTGCTTAACAAGCAAAGGCAACATACGCTCCAGATGAATGCAGGATGAGATGCTCCTAGATTTCTTGAAATTCTGATGATGTCGAGGAGATAGAACATTGAAGAAAGAGCTTGAATTTGTAGATGGTGAAATTCCAAGGAATTGCTCCCCAAAGTTTAGTATGCCTTTAAGCTTCATTCCGGGTATACAGATTAGCATCCGCATGTAGATCCTATGCATTACCACAGTTAGTGAAGAAAGTGAGAAGCAACAGCTACTAACAAGTATAAAAGGAAAGGAACTAAATGCACACATAAAAGAGGGAAAAAAATGCTGAAGGGCATTTCTTTAAGTCACCTGGCATTGTCTCGAACCTCCAAATCAGGGAAGTAAAGACAAGTAAATGCAAGAAGGTGAGATAACCCAAGGAACAATCTAGAGCTATGGTGGTGCATCAGCATAGTTCGGCAAATGCCAAGGACTTTACTTCCCTGCGACCATGACTTCAGCCCTGTATTGGGCCCGTGTTTCTTAACAAGGAAAACCATAAACTTGGTAAGTAGGTCTACCAATCTCTGAGGAGGTATTGCCTCATTTTCGGCTATTCTGTCAAATATTGGGAAGTAAGAAACCAATTTATAATCTATTTTGACTTTTAGAAGCAAATACTCATCAAGCATCTGAAGCAGGCGTTCTCCCAACCACCGATGCTTTTCGCAGCCTAATAAACGCTCAATGAAAGAAATGACAACAGGAACCAGCCTTACAAAATCCAATGTCATCCCCACCAACATCCCCTGGACAAGTGAAACTGGGAGCATCAATGATATAGAAGTACAATTGGGAACATCAGCATTATTTGCTTCATGTCTAGCCACTCAAAAAGTATAGAAGACAAAAAATAAATAAAAAAGAAAAGGTTTCTTGAAGCCAAGTAATTTACAGGTGGAACTCAAACAAAGACACTAGCATACATCCAGCCACAAAATAAAAGAGATTAGGGATGGGGAAATAGAAAAATAAATAAAATTTGATATATGTCAAAATTGTCATAAATTAAAATGGCAAGGACTAGGTCACAAGAAGAAAGAATGTCTTTAAATCAATCTAGTTGATCCACCTGTGATTCAGGCCCAGTTTGTTAGACGTAAAACACCAAGACCTGATATGAACTCCATGAGTCAAAAAAATAGTTTTGATGGTCTGATATTATTTATTTAGAAGGCACATGCAGCAAAACAAACTTCCAACTCTTTCTCTTTCCCCCACACTTTTCAAGCTTGGATTCTTTTCTGCCTGCCAGTTCTCTCTGACTAAGCCGATACTTTCAGTTGTCTTTTTGCACGGTATATTCTATTTCTCATGCTATATAATGGGTGATATCAACACCTCTCTCCCTCTAGCTTAGTACAATATTGAAATGATCTATATGAATGAATAAATAAATAAAACAAACTATAGGATAAATATTAGGAAGTAATTTTTATAATAATACAACAGCAATAGCCACATACAGAATCCTATGGAGAATAGGTGAAAAATATCCTTATAGAAAAGCCTCTCTAAGAAAGAAAAACAAGGATCTGAACTTTACATTGTATTTTGAAAGAAAACCTGAAAATTTAGGTAAAAATCCAAGATTACTTTGCAATATTCTACGTTCCATGAGGGGACATCCAATTAGTAAGAAACAAATAACTGGAAGAGGCCAATATTAATGATAATCTTATTATTGCTTGCAAGAGTTTTCCTAATGGAGTACACATGTATTACATGTGAAATGAAAGAGCTAGGACATAAACATGTTATTACTCAATCGAACTGACGATTAGTCTCACAGTTTGCTAAATGGGTCCATTCCAACCTATTTTGGGACTAAACTTCGTAAGAGCTTTTCTGAAAAACTAAAAGAATTTCACCTCAATTTATGAACAAATTACAAATCATAACCGTAATTGCCTAATGGAACCTTCAGCCTTGAAAGCATATCTTTTAAAAAAAATGCACATTTGACCAAATTCTTCAGTCAAAATTGCTTCTAGTCACAAAAAACAAACTGCTCAAAGAATGCCAAGTATTTTACTTCTTTTTGTGACTGAAAATTTAAAATTTAAAATTCAACAGCAGAACCAAAACAACTAATGCTACAAAATGCCAACATTTTGCTACAGAAAATATGTAGAGGATTGACCCCAACCAGGCATTATCAAGTATTGAATAAATAGCACACTTCACGATGCAAGAGCTAAACTAGGAATTTCAGCATGTTCAAAAGTTACCATTCATGTTATTGTGGCACATGATTATTCAAAGTAGTGTAAATTTTCAAATTAGGGTTATTTTTATATTTCAATTAAGTTGAATTTTGTGTCGAATAGTCAAGTTTTTTTCTATTAGGATTTAAAGTTAAGATCTTATTCTCAAGGGATTGTATGCTTATAAATAAAGCTGTAATGCTTAGATTTAAAGTAACTTTCAGATATTTGAGAAATAATAAAAATCAGTTCAAGACATTTGCCTTTCCTGGTTGCATAACCAGAAGTTCAAGCCTATTTTAGTTTTGGCCTTTTTATCCTCTCTTTCAATGTTCTGCTGTCAAATATGACCTAATTTA